ATCCTCCAGTCTGTTTCTTTGCCATTACCATGCAGTTTTTAACACAGTAGCTTTGTAGTAGTTTAAAGTTGGGAATTATGATACCCCATACCTTGTCTTTGTTGCCTAGAATTGCTTTTGCTATTCTAGGTCTCTTCTTGTTCCAAATGAATTTTTAGATTGTTTTTTCAAGCTCTGTGAAGTATGCTGTTAGAATTTCAATGGGAACTCCATTGAATCTATATAGCAGTTTTGGAACTATGGCCATTTTCACTCTGTTGATTCTTCCTACCCAGGAGCAAAGGATGTCTTTGCATTTTCTGATATCATCTTCCACGTCTTTTTTCAGAGTGCTATAGTTTTCATAGAAGAGGTCTTTGATTTCTTCTGTTGGGTTGATTCCTAGGTATTTCAGTTTTTTGGATGCTATTATGAAAGGAATTTTTACCCTATTTCTCTTTCATTGAGTCTGTTTGTTCTTGTACAGGAAAGCTATTGATTTTTGTGTGCTGACCTTGTATCCAGCTACTCTACTGAATTTGGTTATTTAGTCTAGAAGACTTTTGGTGGAGTTCTTGGGGTCTTCTATATAGAGTATCATGTCATCTGCAAATAATGATAATTTGATTTAATTTCCTAAATTTATTCCTTTTATTTCTTTCTCTTGTCTAATTGCTATGGCTAATGTTTCCAAAACTATATTGAACAGGAGTGGAGATAGTGGACATCCTTGTCTTCTTCCTGATTTTAGTGTGAAGAATTTCAGTTTTTGACCATTTAGTATGATATTAGCTGTTGGTTTTTCATAGATGGCTTTTATCAGATTGAGGTAGAGACCATCTATTCCAATTTTGTGTGGGGTTTTTATCATAAATGGGTGTTGGATTTTGTCAAATGCTTTTTCTGCATCTATTGAGATGATCATATGGTTTAGGTTCTAGGCTCTATTAATATAGTGTATTACATTTATTGATTTGCTTATGTTGAACCATCTCTGCATCCCTGGGACGAATCCCATTTGATCAAGGTGTATGATCTTCTTGGTGATCTTCTATTTTTCTACTTGCCAGTATCTTATTAAGGATTTTTCCATCTATGTTCATTAGTGAGATTGGCCTGCAGTTCTCATTTTTGGTTGGGTCTTTCCCTGATTGGGGATCAAGGTGATGCTTGCTTTCAGGAATGAATTTGGGAGTATTGCTTCTCTTTCAATTTCATTGAAGAGTTTAAACAGTAGTGGCAGCAGTTCCTCTCTAAATGTCTTGTAGAATTCAGCAGTGAAGCCATCAGGACCCAGGCTTTTCTTAGTTTGTAAGTTTTTAATTACATTTTCAATTTCATTGCTTGATATTCGGTTGTTTAGAATTTTAGGTCTTCTTCGTTCTACTTGGTAATCCACATGTATCTAGGAATCTGTCCATTTCTTCTGCATTTTCCATCTTATTGGTTCATAAGTTCTCAAAGTAGGTATTGATGATCCTCTGGATTTCTGCTGAGTCCATTGTAATTTTATGCTTTTCCTTCCTAATTGCATGGATTTGGGCCTTTTCTTTCCTTTTTTGATAAAGTTGGCTAAGGGTTTGTCACTTTTGTTTATTCTTTCAAAGAACCAATGCTTTGCTTCATTGATTCTTTTGTGTTGTTCTCTTAGTCTCCATTGCATTGATTTCTGCTCTGATCTTTATAATTTCCTCCCTTGTATGAGCTTTGGGTTTGTCCTGCTCATCTTTTTCTGGAAGCCTGAGGTTCAGCATCAGGTTGCTTAATTGAGCTCACCCAGTTTTTCCTAATATGAGCATTCACTGCTATGAATTTCCCTCATAAGACTGCTTTCATACTGTCCCATAGATTCTGATATGTTGTACTATCATTATCATTTAATTGAAGGAACTGTGTGATTTGTTCTTTAATTTCCTCTGTGACCCATTGGTTATTCAGAAGTGTGTTGTTCAATTTCCATGAGTTTATGATATTCTTGTGTTTTCTTTTGCTAACAATATCCAATTTCATTGTACTATGGTCTGATAATACACAAGGGACAACTTTAGTTCATTTGCACCACTGAGCTAAATCCCCAACCTCTATGAGGTGTATTTTGGAGAATAACTCATGTGTAGCCAAACAGAATGTGTATTCTCATTTTTGTGGGGAGGAACACTCTGAAAACACCTGTTATATATCCTTTTGTTCAAGAGTTTGATGGAGTTTTAGTATTTCATTTTTTATTTTTGTCTAGTTGATCTATTGATTTGTGACAGTGGGATATTGAGGTCCCCCACTACTATTGTATTGGTGTGTATTTGATTTTTCATGTCCATTAATATTGTTTTATATAGTTGGGCACACTAGTGTTTGATGCATATATATTTGTGATTGTCATCTCTTGCTCTGGGATTGTTCCCTTTACAAGGATGTAGTGTCCTTCTTCATCTCACTTAATCAGTGTTAGTTTGAAACCTACTTGATCTGCAAAGAGGATAGCTACTCCTGCTTTTTTTCTGGTTCCTGTCGCATGGAGTATTGTTTTACCCCCTTTAACTTTCAGACGATGAGTTTCCTTTTGAATTAAGTGTGTTTCTTGTATGCAGCATATTGTTGGATCTTGCTTCTTGACCTACTCTCCCAGACTATTTATTTTGATTGGTGAATGGAGACCATTAACATTGATGGTTATAGCTGATACATATTAACTTATCATTGTCATGACATTTTCTTTTTGTTTGATTCTCCCCCTTTACTTTAATTTCTTGTTGTGCCTGGTGGATTCAGTCTGCTGGGCTTCCTGGAGTTGTGATCCTTATTGTCTTTTCCTAGGATATTGTCCAAAATTTTTTGGAATGCTGGTTTGGTATTCATGAAGTTCCTAAGGTGTTCTTTGTCATCAAAGTATCTTATTTCTCCATCAATTTGAAAGACAGTTTTTCAGGATACATCAATCTGGGTTGGAGGTTGTTTTCATTTAAGTCTTGAAATATGTCACTACAAGCTCTTCTTGCCTGAAGGGTTTGTGCTGAGAAGTCTCCTGTGATCCTGATGGGATTTCCTTTGTATGTGTTTTGTTTCTTTTTTCTTACTGCTTGTAGAATTTTGTTCTTCTGTTAGGTTTCTGGAATCTTAACTATTATATGCCTATGTGTAGATTTTTTAATCATGGCTAGTTGGAGTCCTATATGCCTCACTTATCTGTATGTCAAGTTCTTTTCCCCTCCTTGGGAAGTTTTCTGTCATCTCTTCTGTGAACAGTTTTTTTATGTCATCTGCACTCTCTCCTGTTTCTTCATGGACTTTGATCAATCTTATGTTACTCTTCTTTGCATTATCTAGCACCTACTAGACTGATTTCTCATGGTCTCTTACTATTTTAAAGCAATTTTTCTTTTCCTGGTCACTAATTGCAATCTTATCTTCTGTATCTGAAATTCTGTCCTCACATTGGCTCATTCTTCTGCATAAACTTTCAATGGAGTTTTTAATCTCTTGGAAATCTGTTTGTATCTGTTTTTTGGATTCCATTTGTTTCCTATGTTGGGATTCCATCATGTTCCTCAGCTCCTCTCTTTTTTTATCTGTGTCCTCTCTAGATATATTAATCATGCCTTGCACTATGGGCACAATCTCTACTCTTATCTGAAAAATTATTTCTGATTTCATTTTTTTCCACTTCCTCTTTCATTGCCAGTTCAGGGAGTCCAGGTGGTTGAGTATCAGATTGTTCCATCTCATTTCCCTTTGGGGTTGCCTTAGGTGATCCTGAAGTCTGGTTTTGAGACTTGTTTATGTGTCTTCTCATTTCAACAGATGCAGCCTGCTGTGCCTTTGTTGAGGCAACTTTTTGCTCACCCAGTGGTCTTCAATTCTCAGTAAGCCACTGAGTGGCCTTTTCTCTGCTGTTCACCAGTACACCAATTCCTGGGTTCAGAATGGTGGCCTTCTGAATCCCTGAGCTGACCTGTTGTCTGGATGGGCTTCTGGCTGGGCCCCATGTACACTTGGTATGTTATCTCAGTGTGCCTCTGGCTAGGGCCCTATGTACCTATTGTTTGGGAGGACCTTTGGCTGGGGGCTGTGCACCCCAGTTCCTGTTGTGTGAGCAAGCTTCTGGCTAGTGTCTCACACATTCACCAGTGGTATCGCGGTGAACCTCTGGCTGTTGCTTGTGTACCTGTGCAGTTCTTTTCCAGGTGGGCCCTTGGCTTGGGCCTGTGTACCTAATTTTCTCAGATCAGGGTGAAGCCCTGGCTGGGACCTCCCTGCAGCTGTGCTGCTCGGGTCCATACTGCTGCTCCCTGCTATCTGTGTGCACATATGGATGCTATGGGGCAGGCCTCTGGCTGAAGCTTGTGGCCTGTTCAGCTCTTTTCTGGATGGATCTTTGGCTTGTGCTATGTGCCTGAGCCTCTGGAGTCTGGGCAGAGCCCTGGCTGGGACCCGCCTGCAGCCGCACCACTCTGATCCACACTGCTTGGTACTTACATTTTAAAAGGAATAACGTGTAGATCTTGGATGCATTTCTGGTTCATGAAGACCATAGCAGTTTGGATTTATCTAGCTTCTAGAAAGACATATTCTTTTATAAAGATTAGGATTGAGAATCTGTAATCCTTTCCATACTGCCAAAAGAAAAAGATTTTTCATTTATTAAAAATTGTTTCTCTTCTTTTTCAGGAAAGGTTAGCATAAGAGTGAGATAGCTATTTCTTCTGTATATAAATGGAGAAAATCCACTGTTCTCTTGTCTGTAGAATGAATGTCTGACTACTCTTATGAAAAGAATTCACATGAGCTGTTACTGCAATGTCTGAGGGGTAATGACAGGAATGACCAAACCTTATTTCTCAGGTACATAGAGAATAAGGTGTCTGTACATCCATAACATTGAATGTGTATTTCAGAATAAACATAAAGATGGACTTTAAGAAACACAACAGGTTTACCAGAATAGTAGCCATATATAGAAATAGGAGTTGAAATTTATTTATGACATTCTTTTCCAGGCAAACATTCTTTTCATTTATTTCCAGATTCAATGTAAATTATGTAGAAAAATGTGCTAGGCATGTACACATTTTCTTAAAGGAGAAGCAAAAGAAGAAAAGGCCTCCCAAAGCTGATGAAGAAGCTCAGAAGTTGGCTGGCAAACTTCAAAAAGTTAACAAATTCATTAAGAAACAAAAGATATTGTAAGTATTTCACCAAACAAATGCACCAGCAAAGACTTAATAAACCTCACTGCCCTAGTAGTAAATATACACCAGATGTGTTCTACAGGAAGTTCTAGATATTGTTTGCAGTTAATTGCAAATTTGGAAGGGAGATTATATTAATCAGCTTTTCTCTTGCTGAAAGACAATACTGATACCTACAGCTAAAAGGAGGCGAGGTTTCATGCAGCTTATAGTTTCACGGGATTCAGTTCATTTTCAAAGCAAGAACATCATGGTTTAAAAATGTGGCCAAGTAAAACTGCTTAGTTCAAGGCAGCAGGGAAGGAGGATAGGGGAACAATACCAGAGTGGAAGGGACAAAATATCAGAAATGGCACCCAAGTCATACATCAGTGCCACACCTATACACTTAGAAGTGTGCTTTACTAATCCTGAGGCCAAACCCCAAGCCAAAAAGTTAACAATCCACCTGAACCATCTCAAGAATGGATAAACATAACTGATCATAATCTGTAATGGCATAAATAGGTCTCATTTAAAATGAGAGGCAGGTTCAGAGTCTGTTAGTCTAGGTAGATTGTATAACTTCACATAATCATCCCGAATACAGTATGTGTGACCCATGTGTGAACTCTTGCTCTCAGTCAGCCCTCAAAAGGCTTATATGTTGTCTTGGGTCACTTCACAGCATCACAGCATGCTCCATGGAATGACCTTGGGACTGGATTGAAATACCAATTTTATTTCTTGTGGGACTTGGCTATTTTGATATCTCTTCCTTACTTTCTATGTGTAATTCTCTCCCTGGAGCCTCCTCATCTTTCCTTGCTGCCTGGTTAAAGGTTCATCTTCCTTCACTGAATGATTTCAAAGGTCTTCTTTTTGCACTTCAGGGCCTCGAATATCATCATTCTTCAGTGCAGTTTACAGATATTCTTGCAAAGATTTAAAGTTTGTAAATTGTTTGTATTCAATATTCTTTTTATACTTTCCTATCTCCTTAAACACATATTCTATCTGCTTGATTTGTTGTTTCCTCCTTAGGAGAGGTGACAAGCCAAGATAGAAACAGTATAAGAGGTGTAAAATTTCTTAGTAACTAATTCTCTTTACACAACTTCAGGACTTTTGGAGCCATATTTCAAGTTGGTTAGGCGATCAGCAATTTAAACTGTAAAATTACAGTTTTAGATGCCCTATGTTTATTCATTCTGCGGAGAAGAGGGGCTCTGCCTTTGAACTTGTGCATTAGAAAGTCACACTATGACCCCTACATAAACATGCATTTCAAAAAAAGCCCCTCAGAATCTCACTTTCCCTTTTAAAATCCAGATATTAATGGTGCTATAGTTGTCAAACTAGGAAGATAGAATGTACAGTATTTTATTTCACCATCTGTTACCTTGATTAAAAACCTATTAACAGTATATGGGTCTCCATAAGCACTTTACCCCATTATTTGCAACATATTCATGGATTCTTCTTGAGTGAAGGGCCATGCTAATTGGAAGTGAGAACATTTATAACAAATACAAGTGAGCTCCTCTTCTCAGAATTAGACTTGACTTCTGTGCACAGTTAGGAGATAAACTAAAATATCAAAAAGAGTAAGTGTTGAGCATTGATAAAAGGCTGTTACATCGAAGGCTACTGAGTAATTCAGACTGATGACCCTGGAGACTAATCAGGATTGTGGAGGGGTGTATTAGATCAAATCCCCTAGTAGCACAGGCTGACATGCGATATTTCTGTAAATTCTGAAAGGAGTGTGTTTTTGAGGAGCTAAGAAAGTGAGGGGAGCATGAATTGGACAGTGAGTAAGATAAGCAAGGATGCGGTTCTGCCAGAATATTGTCAGAGTCGGCCTCCTGGGGGATCTGCTGTGGCCCTGAACTGTCATACCTGAGAGAAGCGGGCTGATTTGTCTGGCCTATATCAATCAGTCGTTGGCTGTGAGCCACTTTCCTCACCTCCAGGAGAGGTAGTAATTTCCTGGACAGGTCCATGGGGCTCTTGTTAGTTTTGGCAATTCTCTTTGATTTTAGGATAATGTTAGTTGGAGGTGAGAACACCAAATTATGAATATAAGCATGTTCATCTATTCACATTTAGATTGTCTTTTGTGCACACTTAAGAGATAAGCTAAAAAGTCAAAGAATTAGTGATTACTGATGTTACATTGAGGGGTATTGGATAGCGCTGTGGGAAGATTTAAGAGTAAGCTGAGACTGCTGCATCTGAGAGCCCTTAACAATCAAACTCAGAGCATCTGTTGCACCCACTTCAAGAAGTAAGAAGAGCTTGAACAGCTGCCTTTCTGTCTAAGCCAAGTGTTACGGAGGCTGATTATGAGCATCATGTTAACAAGGGGAAAATAGTTCCTCTGGGGAAAACTTTGATTGTTGAGAGTATAGTGAAAGGGGTAAAAGAAATGTCACAGAAAAAAAAAACCCAGTACGTGGTAGCATTTTATCGGGAAACATCTAAGCTCCAGAGGCCAAAGGTCTGTGTGTTCAAACAGGAGATGCAGAGTCATGAGAGCTCAGATGTGTACAGTTGTGAACATCTGACTAATAAGAGTGATTTAGGAGTCCTGGGATTCCTATGGTGGTGGAATATGTAGATTCATTTCTTAAAATGTTACTTACCCAAACAGAGATGAAAAAAGCCAGATAAGCATGAAAATATTGAACCAAAGCCTAATATATATAGCTGAGCATAATTGTCTACTGAAAAGTCTGGAGAAGAACCTGGAAATTCCTCAGGACTGCACATACACTGATCAAAAAGTGATGGATGATGAGGTCAGTGCTCAGAGGGGCACAGTTCTCCGGGAGGATACATCATTAATCAGCCATAGCTGCTTCATTGTAGACAGTGATTAATGCAAAGACAGGATGCAATCCCTAGAAGCAGAGAAATCCTATGTAGGACTCCATATGGGACCTCCTGGTTACACATAACCCTTGAGGGCTCCTCGATATATATTTTAAAGAATATTCACCCTTGTGAGTGTCTGTCCTTTCCATTATACATTTTTCTTACCCTGAATTCTAGATTCAGTGTCACATGTCTCATTTGAAAATTTAGGTCCATGTGGTCTAAAATACTTTAAGAAATATTTGCAGAATTTCTCAAAATCAGAGACTTTTTATATTACAGTCTTTTACAGAGACTTTTTATATTACAGAGACTTATTATAATACAGTCCACCAATGAGATACTGGAATTTCTAATCATGTTTGCCATTCATCTTTGAAACTATTTTGTTCTGCAAATTATTCATGCTTAAAATAGAGAAATTTGAAAAACAACATAAAAAGCAATGTTATCACTCGAAAATAATCACTGTTTTAAAGATGAACCTTGTATTTCTTTTACCTGTTCTACAATCACATGCACATGTTATTTCATTTCTTTGTAAACTCTTCCTTTTTCATACTCATGCATTTTTTTCACCATTTGAATGGAACTTTATATCCCACTGGGCAAATGACTTCATGGTTTTAAAAAAAACCAAACAGGAATTTAGCCTGTTGCCTTTGGACTTTTATCCATTTTTTTCTTAACTCTCACAAGCAGAGTTTGTACTTTTTGTACTTTCCTACAAATTAGTCTAGACACAACTGGACTTCCTCCACAGGACAGGGCATTTTAAGGCCATTTGTGACCAATCTCCTGTGGGAAGTAAGCTTTCCTTGACCTTGTAGTGAGGGGAACAAGTCTGTCTCACAGAAGTCTGAATCTCTGGGGAAACCTGCGAAGGCTCCTGTACTGACCCACTCGCCTTCAGGCAAGCATGAGTCCTGAACGCATTCTTTCCGGGGTGTTTCTACTGCTCTGTCAGAACTTTTTACCCCCAAAGTGGGTGTGAGTCCCTTTGAGACAGTCTGTTCAAAGAATTGAGAAATTTGTATTGAACTTCCTGTTGTTGCCCCCAAAATGTGGTTTTTTAGTCATGTAAAGTAGATTTCTAATCATTGCCTCACTTAGTCAAATTATTGTTTTAATTTTTATTTATTTTTAAATTAATTTTATTGGTATAATTTAGATATAATGATCACACTCATCACAAGAAATTGGTACCTTCTGCATAATAATTTACATCTAAGCAGTTTTGATTCATTTAAAAAAGTTAGATAAGAAATTACCAAATTTCTTGCTTTGTTCAGTTATTGAAGAGAGTGTTTGATCATGTAAAATTTGAAAGAAAAGGTGCAGAACTGAAAACTTTGGCAAAGACTGGTATTGGATATCATCACAGCTCCATGAGTGCCAAAGAAAAACAGCTAGTTGAAATTCTCTTTTGAAAAGGATTCATTAGGGTAGATAGACTTTTTCATTTTCTAAAAATATGAAATGTGACTGCATGAAGTTGAATTTTCCTGAAAAATAAAAATATAATCATCTTTTTCCCCTTGAAAGTATGTTTTGTTTCTTTTTTTGTTACAACCCATGTGCCCAGATCTCCCCACCTTATTTATTTGGGGGTAGAGGTTTAAAATTTATCATTCAGTTTATCTATTTTCATGAAAATAAAAACAATTTTGTTAACAGATGTTTTTCCGAATATTTCTATTGTGAAATACACCCAGGCTGGTCTTGGCACAACCCCTTTTGTTTCATTTATAATATTTAGAAAATTTTGTGTGCTATTTATATGATTTTGGCTACATGTGTTTGGAGGACAGCTGTACTAGAGTTGTGATCAGATACTTTTCTAATATAATACCTGAAATGAAGGCAAGAATATGGTTTCTGAGACTCTGCTGCTTACTTTAGCAGAATTTTTAGATGTGTTACTTTTTGTGTATGTGTGGCACAAGAAATTAAACCTAAGGCCTTTGTACTGAGTTATATCCCCATCCTTTTAAAATGCTGAGACAAGTTCTCACTAAACTACTAAGTTGCCCTGGCTGAGCTCCAACTTGGAATCCTCCGGCCTCAGCCTCCCATAGTGCTGGAATTACAGGTGTGTACCACAAAGCCCAACATAGGGTGTCACTTCTAAATGTTCTCTTTCCTGTAGCTCACAGTGAAAGACAGGCAGATTAACTTACATAACTTTCAAACCAAACCCTTACTATATTTTTTTGTGTGTACCATGAGGGAACAAGAGGCTGATCCAGAGTAATTCATAAAGAGGTTTAGATAATTTGCTAGTGAATTTGAATACTGAGTGATATTTAAGAATAGACATTGACTTTTACAAGTTATCTATATTAAATTTTGTCTGACATATGCTGCATTCAGGAGATGGTCAAAGAAAGAGAATGAGACAGACAGAGATACATGAATTCTTCTATGCTACGTAGCATAATCTTTTTCATAATAAACTACATGTTGCAGAAAATCTGACAGCATAATTAAAGTGGAATTTGTTATCTGGAAAAGCAAAATATATTTTCAATGAATTTGCTGAGTTTTTATTTAACTAAAGAAATATTATTTTTAAAAATTCATTGCCAAAATTTCTACGTGACTATGAATTGAAGGAAAGTAGGTATGCCTATTTTGATCAGCATATCCTACTTTTAAAATAGTGTCTACTTATTTGTAATTGTTCAATCACTGATAGTTTAGTGAATAATTTAGTAGATCCCTCAAGAGAAGGTCTATGGAACTAGTTCTTTGTTTTAAAGAGCACATTTAAAAAATTATTTTCTAAATTAAATTTCTTATTTTTTCTATTCTTGTTTTTATTAAAGAACTTAGAAAATATTTTTTAAAATTTTCAGATGCATGACCTATTACAGAATTATTAAAATTACTCCATATACTTAAACATTAACACTAAGCAGAGCATAGATGCCAGTCAATATAAAAAGAGAGAAAGAACAAATAAGAAATACCTAAGAATAGATAAAAAATGAGCAAAAAGTTGGGCCATGTAGGTAGGCTTTAGAGTTTTCCCTATACTCTTTATGGTCAGTTATTGTAGCTATTCAAGATAGGGGATCCTATTTTGTTCTTATTACCAAGATATGTTATTTTTATGGATATCTCAATTAATTTTAGAAGAGAAAGTAAATAATTGACCATAATAGGTTTATAACAGGATTATTAGATAAATTTTCTTTCTAGTAATTTATTTAAAAATATTGGCACATGTAGGGTGCCAGGTACCCTTTTTGGAGTCCAGTTTAAGACAAGTAAACAAACAAATAGGATTACTGAGGTTATTTGTCCTGCAAAAATGAATAAAGTAGAACCTAGTAGTAAATAATGATGGGAGGGGATGATTACTATACGGTTACTCAGAAGTTTCTCTGTGACATTTGACCAAACAACTGACAGAGCCAAACAAATTAGTATTTGGCAAAATGTATTCTGCACACACAGTAACATTGTTACAGCCTCGACCTGAAAATGTGCATGGTGTGTTTGTGAAATAGAAAAAATAATAATGTTTCTAATAGGGATAATTTTCACACTGTATTTAATTAAAGTTCAAAGAGGTTTCAGTAATTTTGTGGAAGGAAATAATTGCATTCTATTAAAAGGCTTGCATGCAGTATTTTTTTATTCTCTTTGTAGGTGGTGACAGCTACCGGAACACTTGCTTTAGGAATCAACATGCCTTGTAGATCTGTTGTTTTTGCCCAAAACTCAGTCTATCTGGATGCTTTAAATTACAGACAGGTATTGCAATATGTATATGCTTGCTTAATAAATCACTAAAATGTGGTCATAAAATAGTAAAAAAAAATGTAAACCATCATTTTTCAAACACGCTGCAATTCACAAAATGGCACAGTTGGCATTCATCCCTGCCTGCGTGCCATCTTTAGGGTAGTATAGTGGAAAGTATAGGAGTTTGGAATTCGGTGACTACTGCTGATCAGGTGTGTGACCTTTCATGACATATCTAAACTTCCTGATCCTCCTGATCTATCTCCAGAATATGGGTGACAATTGTAATCTCATGACATTTACAAGAATTAAAGGAAGCAATTTATAAGAAAGATGCATATCCTAGATGATAAATAATTACCTGTTCCTTTACAATGCACAGGATTTTACACACTGGTTTAATGGTTTTTTCTTCTTTGCTTGCGATACACAATCTGTTATCAAGCCTGGTTAATTGCTCTCCTTAGTGATATTGAGTTTTTGCCTTAAATCTCTGCATCTACTGTCTTTCATGATACAGTGTTGGCCAAATGGAACAATTTCCTTGATTTTAAATTCTGCTTATTCTATGTCTCAAAGACAACACAGTGCATTCATTGATGGCAAACCTCTTAGAGATTGAGTGCCAAACTTCAACCCAAAACTCATTTATCACAAAATGCCCACACTGCAATTAAACCTGAATACTGAAGTTTTAGTGTAGAAAAAACAATTCTACATTAACATCTTTGGTCTGAAAAGAAAAAGACAATAATATGTGTGCCATAGGTTTGCCCCACTGGCATAGTGTCTTCTAATACTTCCTCTGCTCATGGACATTTGGTTAACATTTCTGTTGGCAGGATCAAATTTAGCTGTGTCACCAAACATTTATATTTTTTGTCAAAGACCTCCCTGTTTTCTTCTTGAAACACTTCATATTCTCTTACAGACAGTGTTCTCGCTCAACTGAACATTCTTATATTTTTCTACAAACTTACCAGCCCCTGTCTTTTCATTTCTATTCCTGCTGTTATATTCTATATGAACTTTCTGGGCATCTCATCTTTAGGGGTCTCACACTTAGGGTTCATTATCCGAGGTGTTAGGATATTTGGGGTGACAGACTTGGGAATTGAATTTGCAGAGTATGACTCCCAGATCTTTCACTTTTGAGTTGGTTAACTATGGGGAAGTTCCTTATGCAGTCTTCTCCATGCCCTAGTTTCCACATTATGGACACAGCAATTTTATATATCTCATATGTTATTGGGAGGTCTGTATGATAGCAAAGGAAAGACAACCTAGCTCTTTCCATGTACTTAATGAGAATTCATAGAACCTCTGTCAAGAATTTATTCTTAACTTGTTTATAAGCACCATTTCTTAATTTCATCTTTCTCATGTATTTCTATGATTTTTGCACAGTATTTATTTGTGATTCATAGCTCAACACATTTATGTGAGAAAGGGCAGAAGAGAAAGGAATTAGAGAGAGAGGACCTGGGGAGGGAGAAAAAATTGGTACAACAGAGTTCATCTGTAAGTGAAGTTAAAATCAGATTCTAATCTTTTGATGTTATGTTTTTTGTTCCACATATCATTATACAAATAACTGGTAGAATTAGTGATATGAAATAAGTACATATGAATGATAAATGTCTCATCTTTCAACTCTTGACTCAGTCATGGTAAAACTCCTAAGGTTTAGATGGGTGTCAGTTAAGTAACCTTTGGACCTATGCACAATTTACTTGCTTGAAAACGGCAGACAAGGCTCAGTTCTTACACAATCATAGGAAAAGTACTTAGAGGAATTTCACATTGTGAGTCTATTCTGTCTCAGATGTCTGGTCGTGCTGGAAGACGGGGGCAAGACCTGCTGGGAGATGTATATTTCTTTGATATTCCTCTGCCCAAAGTAGGAAAACTGATAAAATCCAAAGTTCCTGAGCTCAAAGGACAGTTCCCTCTCAAGATAACCCTGATTCTGCGACTCATGCTGCTGGCTTCCAAGGCAGATGACCTAGAGGATGGCCAGGCAAAGGTATCATCCTGGGTGCCACCTGAAGCAGACCTTGGCCACTGGTCTGGCTGCAGGTGGGTCTGCTGGGTTTTTGATTGTTTGTTTGTTGGTTTGTTTTCCCCTCAGAAATCTGTACCAATAACTTTTCAATTTTATAGGTCTTTTGATACTTTTTAGTGTCTTCTAGAAAGGACAATGGGAAGTAGAGGAGAATAATGGTTACTTTTGTTTCTTTGCTGTATCTAACAAAGTTTTAGCTGGATGAGCTTTGGAAATCACCAGGTTGTTGTTTTCTTGTGTGATAGACATGGTCTTGCTGTAGATAAGGGTGGTGAGTGTGGCTATAAAAAGATCTGAGTTAGATTCCTGTTTCTTCCATTTAGAAGGAAAGTGGTACATTTTTATGATTCTGTAGTAAAAGTTTGTTTTTTTGTAATAATTTATCTAATTCATTAAATACTACTCAATAAATACAGAAAGTTGAAAGAAGAAAAGAAACGAACACAACACATCTACCTCTAGTACCCAAAGACAATCATATTATCATCTTATTTTAGTCATTTTTCCCTAAGGCATGTCTGTGCTTTTATTTTTCAACCTAGATGAAGTTATGTATAACTGGACTTCAGAAAATGGTTCTAATGTTTGTGTTCAGATAAATATTTTGAGTCCAACTCCACAACAAGAGATTTAAAATTTATAATTAAATAATTTCATTTTCATTTTTATGAAGATATGTTGTTGAAAGGATATGTATGAAGGTCCAAAGGGGAAAGTTAAGTGGGAGGGGTCGGGGAAAGGAAAGAAGGGAAAGGAATAAACATTTTTTTTAAAAAGAAAGGATATGTATGAGTCCATTTCCTGTACCTTTTTACACCATACCACAGACTTTCAACTGTAATGTCCAAGGGCTGCATCTAGTGACAGCCTTCTTAGTGTATGAGCATGAGGAGGCCCAGAATAGTACATGGGAGGAGACTGAAAGTATTCACATGTCTGTCTGGTCTCTCTTCCTCTTATTATAAAACCACCAGGATTCAATCTTGGATTCTCTACCCTGTGAAATTTACCTAATTCTAATCACATCTCAAAGGCCCTGCCTCTATACACTAGAGTCAGGCTAATTTTGCCCCTTAATACCTCACAATGGGGCATACATTCAAGCATAAGTTTAGGAAGCCAAACTATATTTATACCATAGCAAGACTTATTCTTTGCTGTTTTGTGTATTAATTAGTGTACTCAGTTAAATCAGTTATTATATGATAAGGTGACACTGTTTTTAGAATCTTCAGATGAGTTGGCTAGTTCTATAGACCAGGCATACATAATTTTAGACCAAAACTTCCCAGTGTTTTAGATTTTAATTTTTACCTCTCTGTAGGGAAGAACATAGCTTCTAATAAATTTAATTATTTTTTTTCAAAAAAGTTATTGAGTTGGTTCAATTTTTTGTCTGAGCATCATTGAGAGAATCTATCTGTGATATTCTCTTATGCTTACTTTTATGTGTGGGCATATAACTCTTAGAATACACTTTTTATTTATCTTATCAAACAATTTTTCATTGCCTTTAGGCATTTGGTGTTGAGAGGCATAGACTCTTGGAATCTCATTTAGGGGAACCGTGTTAATTTTTTTTCTTTGTGCTTTGAACTAAAAAGAATTCTTAAATTATGTATTTGTTACTTATTTCTGTTTAATTTTTCAGCTTCTTTTTCAAGAAAACTATGAAAATCTGGTGGTTTGCCAAACAAGTGGTTATATAAGATGTCTTCTGGTGAATTCTGTCTAACTAAATGCTATTAATCAAAATATCTTTTCAAATCTGAGGCTGGAAAGCTTTTGGCCAAAATATCAGTATTAGCCTATCTTCATTTTTAGTAGCTTTCCTTAAGTGAGAGGTCATTCTCTACTTCTACCAGTTTACTGGCACATTGACCATGATGGATGTCATTAATCATCATAAACTACAGGAAGCAGTTTCAGGATTCCAACCATGTCACTTATAATTTAATTATGGAGTCCATACTTCTAAGGTCACAGTGAAGCACAATGAGTTCCTCACCCCTCTTACTACTTTGATTTTCTCTGACTGTTGCCTTCTCTGACTAAATGGCACATGAAGAATGTGGCACAAGAGGTTGTAGAAAAGGTCATTTCTGGTGACCTTGAAAAAATCACCTCACAGCAATGGAGCGATATCCCTTTAGCTCTCTTCTTCTCTCACTTTTCATTAGCCCAGTGGCCTTAAAGAAAGTATACTATCTGTAAACTCTCAAGCCTAAATGCAAAGGCTTAAATATTATTGATACTGGAAATTTTTTCTTGGTTGAGCTTCCATAGACATTTTAGTGGGAAGTTTAAAGCTACATGAAATGCAGTACTGTTTGACACTGGAAACCAAACTATTTTTTTGGTTTTAATAAACCTAGTTCCATTATTTGTGTGATAATACTATTGGATATGAAATAATATATATCTTTGAAAAGATTTAATAGATTGGATAACATAGCATGATTTATGGGGCTTAATCTTTTTGTTTCCATTAAGTTTATTGGTACATTTTAGGTACATAATATGATGACATTCATCATTGGGAATTTGTACCTTTATATGATACATCTTGTTTCTTATTTTTCCCTATTCCACTGTCCTTCCTTCAACCGCCCCACCCCTCCCTATTTACAAAGACTTTGTTTCCATTTTTGTCTTTGCTTATATTTTTCCTTTCCCTTCTTTCCTTTCCCCTACTCCTCCCACTTTCCCCTTCCCCTTTAAACCTTTTCTTCCTATTTCACATTATCTATTATGCTATAAGCTCTTCAACTGGATAATAACAGATTTCTTTTATTATCAGATTCTTGGGAATATGTTTCATTTCTGACAATTCTGTTTTATGTGTTCTGTTTTGTTAAAGGAAGGATGTAGGAGCACAGTAAAGAAAATACTATGACATCTAGACGAGGCTTGTAGATTGCTAATATCTGTGTATATAACAGATATGGATACTATCTATCTTATGTTATCTCTTACAAATGCATTTCATATACTTGACATTGTGTGAATAAAGTGCTCTTCTCTTAGGCGCTGTCCATGCTAAAGCATTCGCTGCTGTCCTTCAAACAACCCAGAGCCATGGAGATGTTAAAACTTTACTTTTTATTTTTTTGCAGTTCTTGGTGAAGCAGGTATGACTGTGTTTTGCTTTTTTGTGAAATACCTTTGTTACTATCTAAATTGTCTTTCCATGCTAAACTAACTATAATATCTAGACAGTTATAGCCAATGACCAATGTTATCGACAATTCAGTCAATAAACAAAGTTAAACAACACAATAGACAACAACATGTCCCATAGGGATACCAAAAGCTCATCTAAAAGGCCAGTTAAGAAACTAATTAACAAGTATGCGCAGAGCGAAGCCAAAAGAAGCAAATAAGCGCCTGCACTAAGGATACCCACAGAGAGAAGGAAAGCCCAAAAGAGGCCAGGAACAGGGATAACAATGGCAACACAAAAAACCCTCCAAGCGGGCTGGGAGCAGCCAGACGAAAAGAGGCCTGGAAAACAATCCCTGCCAACAAAAGAAGAAAGATGAGCGCGAACAAACCCCACAAAATGAGCACGGAACAAGGGAAGGGAAGGTAACACAAAAACCCAGACAACTGACAGAGCAGCACAGCAAACAAACAGAACAAAAAACCCACTTACACAGAACAAAGAGAAAGGAAAAAAAGGCTCAAAACCCCCAACCAATGAACCGGGAACAGCACGACGCACCACCATGCACAAGAGATCGAATGACATATCAGTCGTAGAAATATAGAATCAGAAGGAAACATAACAGAAACGCAGTAAAGAAGAAACATACACGACAGAATCACCACACCAGCAACAGATAAACACACTTAACAGTCTCCACCAACCAGATTTGACAGAAGATAAGCACAAACGAGGACCAAAGAGCCAAGGGCACAGAACTGCATGAAGGACAACAGTGGGCCCACTCAGTATCTTGTAAGCAACTCACAACATCGAAAGGGCAAACAAAAACCCACCTAGCACAAGCAGGATAAAAAGCCGTGGAGGCTTATAATAAAAAAATAAAACCAATAAACACCGTACACAAAATAAATAAAGCAAATGTGGACCGCGTGTACTAAAAATCACTAAAATCACTAAGGCCCGAAAAACCCAGTAAATTCAACAACATTAACAAAACTACCATAACTTCAAAAAACAAATAAAACAAGCAAAAAGAACAATAATAAATATACTCAAAAAACGCAAAAAACGCACACCCACCCACAAAAAGGAAGTAGCAAGCCAAAGAAAGGTACACAAAAAAAACAAGTAAAGGAAAGAAACAGGAAGGAATGGTTTATTAATAAACATGCAGTAGGTAGAAATAAATGCAAGCAAGAAGAAAAAAAAATGAATGAAGGAAACAAACAAAAGATATAGCAAACATCATAAATAAAGAAACAAACGAACAAAAAAAATAAAAAAAGTGGCAAGCCCCCAAAACTTTCAAAAATCAAAAACAAAAATCAAAAAATAAGCCGAACCCAAAACCCGGGAAAATATCAAAACCTGAAAATTAAGGCCAAAAGTTTTAAAACCCGCAAGTCCCCGCCTCCGGGCCGGGCAAGGGAAAAAAACCAAAACGAAAAAAACTGAAATACATGCCAGGAAGGTAAGGCAGGTAGATCAGATTGGGAGATCATTGATGGACTGAATTTCAGAAAGCCTTAAATCCAAAGCTATAGAAAAGTTTGTTTATCATACATTTAGGTATCATTAGAGATTTTTGAGTGTGTGAGAGAGACATGATCATAAATTCTATAGGAACCCCGAATAACCAAGAAGAAAAAAAAAAAAGAAGAAAAAGGTGGGAAAGGGAAAAAAGGAAATTGGGGGTGGGGGAAACAAGAACCGAAAAAAAATGGAAACAAAAAAAAAAAACCATAAAAAAGAAAACTAACAACCTTGGCCCAAAGCCTAAGTTCCAAGAAAAGAAAAGGAAAGAAAACTTCAAATTAAAAAAGAAAAAAAGGAAAAAAAATGGTAAAAAAATTAAAAAAAAAACATTTGGGTTGGAAAAGCCCAAAAACGGTTTCCCAAAAAGGTAAGGAAAAACCAAGGCCAAGAACGGCAAAACCCCTTGGAAAAAAAAAAAATCCAACAAAAGAACAAGAAGGAAAAAAGAAAGTTTAACAAGCAAAAGGAAAAGAAAAGAATTTGCCGAAACTTTCCTAAGTAAAAGAAAAATTTTTGTTGAATAATTTGCTGTTTTTATAATTAGTGTGCAATTTAATCTATAATTCCAAGTCCCCCTCTGTAAACCTATGAAAAGCTTAAATGCCTTGAGAAAAATTAGAATTGAAGCCTTATTCATGTTTTCCTTTGATTATATCTAATTAAAGCAGTAAGATAATACTGAAAGATGCAGCTAATTATACATTTAAGCAAAGCAATTATACCCATTATCAAATCTACATTTTCCTAATGATCTTTTTCACCTTGAGGTAAAACTGTATATTGTACTTGATAATGCCTTCACCAGATAATATAAAAATAGTCATCCAGGAAATCACCTATATTAGGTTGGTATCACTGTGACAAAATGCTTCAGGAATGCAGTTTAGAGGGGAAAAGATTTATTTTTGCATTTAACTTCAGAGATTTCAGTTGATGGTCAGCTGGATCCATTGCTCACCTGTGGGGAGACAGAAACTTCATGGTGGAACTGCATGACAGAAGAAAGCTGCTCACCTAGTGACAGCCCAGAAGCTGAGGGTGGGTGCTGAGAAGGTAGTGCTGGGGATCAAAATAGTCCCCAAAGTGACAAGCCCCATGTTCCACTCCCTTCACCTAGGCCCTACCTCCTGTTTGCATCACCTAAATAATGCCATGAAGTTAGGATCTTAACAATAGATCGATGAACTTAATGAAATTAGCATTGTGAGGATCCAGTCACTTCCCCCAAGTCTCATCCATAAGGAAGTCTTCATCACCATGAGCCTTTTTAGGGAACCAATTGGAGCACATCCATAACATTATATCTGAATCACAGAGGCCCAGATCATGAAAACTCTTGTCTAATTTTATTTGCAGCATTTCTTTGGTAATGATCCCCCATCACTTAACATCAAAGAACATTACTAATTCAGCTCATTAGGTACTAAGAAAGTGGGATGGGCTGATTTATATTAGTTAACCTTATGAAAAGCTACTATGGAACAAAACAAGAAGAGTTAGTCTACACCATTTAACCCAGAGTGATGAATTACAAATGTCCTCTAGACCAGGAATCACAACTTTAGAACATCATCTAAGACTTATCTTCATCCTTTTTCCCTACGTGTACATTCTTGAAATATTATTTAATTGTTCTATTCAAATTAAAACCTAACTTAGAAAAGCTAGCATTTCTAGTTTTAAAAAGGTCATCGCAAAAATAAATATGATAAAGATATTTTGAGTAGAAACCTTTTGTTAAAGATTAATAGAAACTCGTTTACATCCAGGTTACACATATTAGATGGTTGTTAATCCTACAATAACAGAGAGCTTTGAAAACAGTGAGAACTGCATTGCTAAAATTTTATAGTGGCAAGAGGTTTTCCAAGGTATGATAGAATTCTCAAACTTAGTATTTGTCTCAGAGAATTTGCCAGTTTGGGACATAATTTGAATATTGGATTTAACAAATGCAGATCTAATGAGAATAAAAATGCTTAATCCATTTCTTAGTGAGTATACTGACCTGAAATTACAGATAAGATTCTTAAAATACTGCAAGCACCCAAGTTTTCATCACCAAAAATTTACTGAGTAACAGGTCTGAGTGAAATTTTGGGGTGCTTTATGAAAAGGCTTTAAAAGAGAGAAAAGTATTTCCAAAGGATTATGACATTTATTAAACAAAACTCTTGCTAGAAGGAAGGATCTGGGTGCACCTTTATGCATAGACTTGTATTTTACTTAAGAAGTATTTGGAATTGTTTAGGAATTAAAGATGAAAATGTGGGTTAGGAAATTCTTCAGGAAAGAGGAGACTCCTCACGAGTAATTTGGACCTGAGAAAACTGAAACACACCATCTTGATAGTCAGAAATCTCAAGGAAGCCATGACCTAGGGCAGAGATGTTGTAGGTATAGACTGAGGCTTATGACAACACGAAAACAGTAACAGCTCACTTCATTCTACTTCGATGGAGATGATCTCACCCTCACTCTCTTGGTTAAATACAAACATTGGGAGCTCACTCTGCTGAAAGAGCATCTGGTTAGGTTTACTTAAAACCCTTACAACCAAGTGAGCTTCACACCCGGCATACACGTGCACCTTCTCTTGTTGCTTGCTCTCCACATATCTCACTAGATTTTGTCAAATGTTCTTGAGTCTAATGTCATTTGAGGGTATGGCTCTATTTTTAAAAAGAGTTTGATTAAGTAGTTTCTAGACCAATGAAGAAACAGTGGGCTTATTGGATAAATAGAGAACCTTAGAATTATGCTGGAAGGTTCTTTGCTTTTCTTCTTCCAAAGGTTTAATTTTAACAAACTATAGTTTTCTCTGAAAAATATTTTTCCTCTAGGTGTTCCTTGATGATCTCCCTGAGGATTTCAGTGCTGCTTTAGTTGAGTACAACATGCAAGTTACAAAGGACTTTGCCTCTTTTTTACCACTTGTGTCCAAATTGGCTGATATGAAACAGGAGTATCAACTCCCATTGTCTGAAATCAGTGAGTATATTTCAGCTCCATTGCAGAACAATTTAACAATAAATAATCTTTCCTAAGACTATTTTATCTCAGGGCTGGGGATGGAGTTCAGTGGAAGAGGGCTCTTCTGTCATGCATGAAGCCTTGAGTTCACTTCCCAGTACTTAGAAAAAGATGTATATTTTATTTCGAAGAAGATATATATTTTATCTCAGAATTAGACTAGAGTCTAACAAATGTCAATTTGGTTTTGAGTAAAGGATTTCCTTCAGCTTTTGAAAGAAAAACATCTGATTATTGGGAGTTAATGGTGGTGGAAAATGAAGCTAAATATATCATTTATAAACCGTCTTGATTAAAGCCTGTCTTTGAGTCAACCCTGGAAAAGGGAGTAAAGAGATCTGTGAGATTGAGAAAAACTAGAGTCTAATTCTGGCATTGTTTTCTTGAGAGAAATTCTATTTAATGTTCATCAGCATAGAGCCTAGGTCGATTCCCTAGACCCAAACTTTGGCTGTGCTACTAGAACCCAGTTTGGATATATGAGTGGAGCTTTAAAAACACATAAATGGAAAATACATGTCTTCTCATTTGCCTTTTCCAAACCTACTAAGAGTGACCACTTAGAACACCCTGTCCAGAAAGATTTTAAGCCAGACTCAGAGATCAGGGGACAAAGTGGCAATCAACAATTATTCTCTGTAAAAAGATATGCAATTTAAATATTTCTTCCTATTGATAAAAGGAATTAAATATAACACATTTTTACAGTGAAGTAGTGATACTAAGGTTAGTAGCTAACATTCATTGAAAGTACCTGACCCAAACTGGGCCACTCCCATTCTGTGATACAGCCTACTCAGTTACTCAGTGGACATTGTGCTGCGGTTTCTTAAATGGCTGTACACATAGAGTGGTCGAGATCCTTGGTGGTTAACCTATGGCATGTGTGCCCCAGGAGGCTGTTTGTTACCATTAAAAACTCTAAAAAGTTCACCATCAGATCAAGTAAATGAGGTTTGACAAGTTAACTGATTTTTAAACTAATCTATTTCAATTTATTATGGTCAGAATTCACAGGTAAAGAATGTGAAGACTCCCAACTTGTATCTCACTTGATGAGCTGCAAAGAAGGAAGAGTAGCAATTTCACCATTTGCTTGTCTCTCTGGGAACTTTGACGATGCTTTGCTTCAACCAGATATTTCAAGTGATGTAAGTGAAGAATGGGGTTTATACATAGATCTCCACAGCTTTCCTTCTGTCTGAGGGGTATCTTGTAACAATTCTTTTGATGAATTTTGAATTCTGGCATACAAATTATAAAGGATTGCATGTTAGCTTGATGAGTAATAATTTTAGAAAAGTTTGTTTCCTGTAGTTTACATGGATGAGTACAAATAATAACTTATTACATAAGAGATCTGTAACTACATTGAAGAAAAGACATATTAACTACTAACCAATGTAATTTCTCTTTTTCCACTTCTTTGCCTGATCCCTTTTCCCATTTCCAAAAGGATACCTCATTATTTCCTACCATGTCCTCATTTTACTCTTTAATTTATTTGTATTTTTAGATTACACAAATAAGATAAACCAAGTGCTATTTAACCTTTGTGTCTGACTTATTTCACTTAACCTTATGGTCCCATCTGTTTCCCTACAAATAACTCAAATTCATCCTTCTTTTATAGCTGAATAATACTGAATTTTCTTTTTCTATTGCTTGGTTGATGGGTATCTAAGCTGTTTCTCTAGTCTATCTATTGTGAGTTGCAGTGCTATAAAAATGGGTAGTCATGTATCACTATAGTATGAAAACTTTAACTGTCAGGGTAACTCTCAGGAAAGGTATTGCTGGGTAGAATGGAATTTCCACTTTTATTTTTTTGGTGAATCTTCAAACTGATTTCCATAGTGGTTGTACTAGTTTACAGTCATACCAACAGTGTAGAAATGTTTCTCTTCCCCTACAACTTCATCATTTGTTATTTTTGAGTCTTTAATAGTGATTATTTGCATAAGATGGAATCTCAGATTACTTTGATTTGCATTTCCCTAAAGGCTAAAACTACTGAACATTTTTTTCACATACTTATTGTCCATTTATTCTTGTTCTTTTGAGAAGTGTCTATTTACTTTGAAAATTTTTCTTGGGTCATTTTTCTTTTGGAGTCTAATAGTTTTTGAGTTCTTTATGTACTTTAGATATTAGTCCTCTATCAGAGCAGTACCTGGAAAATTTCTTTTTTCATTTTGTGGGTTGTCCCTTCACTCTGTAGGTTGTTTCCTTTGCTGTGCAGAAGATTCTTAAGTTGACACAATCTTATTGTTAATTCTTGGTATTATTTCTTGTGCTATTTTTGTTCATGATGTCCTTCCCTATGCCTGTGTCTACGGTGTTATCCCTGTTTTATCTTCCAGGAGTTTCAGTGTTTCTGTTTTTATATGTAGACCTTTGATGCATTTTAATTTGATTTTAGTACAAGGTGAGAGATAATGTGACCAGTTTCATTTTTCTCCGTATGTACAACTAGTCCTCCCTGCACCATCTTTTCTCCAGCATAGGCTTTTTACCCCTTTTGTAAGAGATCAGATTTTGTTCCTGTGTCTTTTATTCTATTCCATTGTTCTATATTTCTATATTTTTTTTGCCAATACTATGCTGCCTTTATTACTAGAGCTTTATGTTATAAGTTTAAGTCTGGAATTGTAATGCCTCCTGTTTTACTCTTGTTACTCAGTTTGCTTTGTCTATTTTTGTTTTTTTCTTGTTCCACATAAATTTTTAAATTGTTTTTCTAGTTCTGTGAAGAATGTTGTTGTTATTTTGATAAGAATTGCATTAAATCTATATACCATTTTGGTACTATGACAATTTTAATGATATTAAGTCTATCAAAGAACAAGGGATTATTTTCCATTTTCTAAGGTCCTCTTTAATCTCTTTCTTCAGGGTATTGATTTTTCATTTTAGAGTTCATTTATCTCGTTGGTGAGGTTGATCCCTAGATATTTAATTGCTTTGAAGCTACTATAAATGTAATTGTTTTCCCAATTTCTTTCTTGGTGGATTCATTATTGGTACAATAGTACAGCAATACTATTGATTTCCTTGTGTTGATGTTGTATCCTGCCACTTTGCTTAATTTTAGTTCTAAGAGTCTTCTGTGATTTGTTTTTTGGTCTCATCACCTGCAATTAAGATAGTTTGACTTTTTCCATTCCTATATATATATTTTTTCTTCTCTTACCTGGCTGGTCTGGCAAACATGTCAAGTATGGTATTAAAGAGGAGTGGTAAGAGTGGACACGCTTGTCTCATTCAATTTTACAAGAAGTACTTTCAATTTCTCCCCACTTAGTATGATGTTGGGTGTGGGCTTGTTATATATGGCTTGTGAGTTTCACATGAGGTCCTTCTAAACTATTTTCATCAAGACTTTTATCATGAATAGATGTTGAGTTTTGTCAAAGGATTTTTCCACCTCTATTGAGATGATCCTGTGATTTTTATACTTACTTCTAAATGTGGTGTATTGCATTTATTTATTTCTTTTATTGCATTCTTGGTATGAAGCTGACTTGATCATGATGTATGTTCTTTTGTTGTTTTGCTGTGTTCTGTTTGTAAGTATCTTATTGGTAATTCCTGAATTTATATTCATTAGAAATATTGGCTTGTAGTTTTTTTCTTTTTTTGTTGCCATTGTTTGGTTTTGCTGCCTTGCTTGCTCATGATTCTTATGGTTTTGTGTTGGATGATTTGCATCAGCTGGGACAAAAGCTCTGCAACTACAGTACATGTCTCTTTTAAAGGTGCATTTTTCCTTGTGGTGTTCCCCTTGGTTTGGGTTTGTGTCAGTGTGCAGACATCTATTACACCTTCTTAAAGGGCTGGGGTCAGTCTCTGTCATTGCTTTGCTTGGAGAGAAAAATTGATGTCAGTATTAGACTTTTTCACAGAAACAATCATATTATCAGTATTTACTTTAAAATTTGCTTTGAGATTTTTTTAACTCATTCAGTAACCAAAGAAGGTGAAGGAATAGTAATGATAAAGTGTAGGCTGAGAATGAGAAGAAAAAAGCAAAAAGGGGAAATAGATAAAACAGACTACCATAAAATTAAAACCAAAAGGAGGAGGCAAAATGAGAATATAGATTTTGATAGCATTATCTTCTTTCCTAGACTGGAGGGGGAGAGAGAAGAGGTTTGAAAGGTCATGCGAGGGACCAGAGAAAAAGAAAAGAGCAGGAAATATTAAGCAGGAGAGGGTTTGCAGACCTTGGAACCAGTGAATCCTGTATCTCCACCTGTAGAAATCCAACCTTGTAAGATTCAAGAAGCAACCTTTAATGAGGGGGATCTCAACATGTCTATATAAATCTCTGCAGACATTTAAACATTAATCCACACCCATACACATTTGTATACACATGCAAGCTCCACAGCAACACCTTGGGAGTGAGGGAGTCTGAGAATGCAGACCGATCACTGAGGTCTGTCTCACACTTTGTCCTATGCACCTTTGGAGGTAGAGTCAGCTCTCCATGCAATTCCCATTGTGTTCTGGAGCCTCTGAATCCTGGGTGGGGCATTTCCTCTGCTCCCTCCAGTGAGTGTTAGCTCTGGGTTCTCTACCAACTGTGGTGATCCCAACTGCTCCCTTCTTCTCTTCTCACACCATCCCTGGCTCAGCGTTGTGTGGTTTCAGTAGTCTCCAGCTGGGAGGGGGAGTTCTTCACTTAGTGCAGGCAGTCTGTCTCCTCCCCAGACCTTTAAACTTATCTTTAGCTCTTGTGTCTCCCCATGCCCAGTGTCAGAGAAGCAGGAATCTGTACCTCTGCTGCAGTATGGGTAACGGCATCCAGCACAAGTGCTTAGCTATAATTTCCCCCTTCTCACCGTACCTTTTTCCCTGGAAAGTTTTTAGCATTTCACAGGGGAGGTGGGTGTCTGGACCTGGGCTGCACTCCATGCACATGGACTGGGATTCTGGGTACTGTTGTAATCACAGATCCTGGACTGTATCCTGGCAAGGGAACTGTAGAGGCTGGGGAGCCCTGGCTTCTAGAGCTCAGGCCCTGCTGTGGCTATCGCGTTGCCTTCTGTCCCTGAGAGTTTTGTGCATTGCCCTGGATGGCTAAGTCCCCAAACATGAGCAGGAATGTGCACTAGTGGAGTCAGTTTGCTGAACATGCCAGAGGGTACATGCTCCAGTGACAAGGAAACCATATGGATAAAACAGTAGTTTCTCCAGACTTGTGCTCGTTGAACATCTAAGCTTATAGCTTAGGTTCTTATTCTGAGTTTCCATTTTCTGTATTTCACCTAATTGCCATCCTGTTCAGCATATGTTCCTGTGGTTGGCAGCTCTATTGCCTCATTTAACCACACTCTGACTGGCCTTGGTGTGTACCATGGAGTGCTCTGTGAATGCTGCTCCCTCTATGCTCCAATAATGGGTCTTCTTCTCCTTTTCTATTTTTATACAATTTAATCAATTGTTGGAAAGTATTTGCCACATGATTTTTGTTTTCTTTCCATATGCAGGCTTGTCTCTGAGGTTTTGGAAGGGCACTGATGCAATTATAACAGGATAGGTTATGTCACATTGCCACACAATCACCATCAAATAGGAGTGATGCCTAAAGTACAGGGCATGAACACGTCCAGACTCATAGCTGTTACTGATGGAGTTCTATAGAAAGGGCTACATTCTATTTCTTCTGTTCAGAAGCATCTCAAACAGGCGAATTATAGAATATTGCATCATGGTAACTTACCCAACTCACTTCATACAAATTGACCAGTGTAAATTGCAATCTTAAAAATTCATTTGCTTTCATTTTGATTATGGTTTAATATTATACTAAACAAGCATACTTATTTCTATTATTATTTATTATTTTATTTTATTAGTTATTTATTATTTATTTTTATTATTATTTTTAGATGCGATGTAAATAAAGTACAAGGAAAATAACTATAATAATAATAACTATAATAACTGTAATTATAATGACTATCATGAACACTCCATGAGGCCAAGATTGATGGGTTCATCCTCTATTTTATTCCTTGTGTACTTTCTTCCCTATCCTCAAGTCCTCTATATGTCATATTTCATTCTACTTTTTAAAAACTTCATATTACAAAACCACTTATATGTTTTTAAAAATTTTATAGAAATAAATTAAAGGAATACTTTCTGTCAACTCTTAAAAGTAGGTTTCCATTTGCACTAATTATTAGTCTTTTAAGATGATCAATGTTATGACACGAACCTTTTCTTTTTCCTTAAGTTCTTTTATTGGTACATTTTAGGTATACAATACGTTTACATTTATCATTGGGTGCTTGTCCCTGTACACGAACCTTTTTAAAAAACTTTTCTTACTACTTCATAATACTCTGTAGTGGGAAACAACTTGTTGCTCTGTCTTTTGTTAATAAGTGTTTTGCCTGTTTCCAGTATTTAGTATACAAATAAGATTACTATGAATGTGTTATGCCCATGTGGGACAGATTTTTTTTTGAGGGGGATTATACATTTTCTTGGTTAAAAAGCGATTTTCTCGTTATCAGAGCAAAGAAATATTCAACTTTTCAAGCTATTACCATCTCACTTCTGAAAATAGTTGGACCTGTTTATCATCTCTCTAGCAGTATACTAGAGGTCCTGTTGACCCAATAAGATATAATTTGCAAAAACGAGCAGACAGATAATTTTGTATTTGCTTGTATTTTGATTGTCTTCTCTTCCTTCCTCCCCTCCCCTTTTTTATTCTGCTAATGGGTTCTAAAGATCATTAGATTTGTTTAAGTGAATACTTCTCATGTGGCATGTATGTCTCAAGCTCTCTCTTACCTTATTTGCAAAGGCATTCCCTGCACCAATAAGAATAATGTTAAAACTTTAAATGAGTTTTCTTTCCTAATCTGTCTTGCTGTATTCTAGTGGTCAGATGGTTCAATTTCCTTTCAGAGTGATGTGGAGGCAGTAATTCTTACAGGTGGAGCTAAGCCACTCTCCAACCTTACTGAGAATGACACCACCTTGTGTGTGATAAAAACACCTCCTTTTAATGATGAACTGTGTGATTGACAAGCATTGATTAAAGAAAGTAAATTAAAAGCTCAATGTAAGAAACATAAACTTTCTCTATGCATAAATAACATTAACTAACAATTCTATTTCTTCAGTTCATTCTGCGCACACTTGGTATCAACCATACTCAAGCTCCTGTACTGTGGCCGAAAAGATTTGATAGTCAAGGAAGAAGAATGCCACTTAATGCTTATGCACTGGACTTCTACAAACATGGTTCCTTGGTAGGATTAATGCAGGATAATGGGTATGTTCTCTCTCTCTCTCATAGATGAATTTTACAGAAAAAAATCTTTTTACAGTTGTACATATATGTTAATCATGCTAAACATATCATAGTTTCTTTTTTCTTCCTAATGGCCAGAGACAAGGACAAATCCTATATGATTTTTGTTTGTGGCTGACCAACAAAATCTTGGTATTTAGAGCAGCTTACTTTGCATAAAGGTATAACCTAAAGATGTAGATATTTTCAGATACTTGCAGATACACTTTACTTTTTGCTAATTGGTTTATTTATTATTAATGAATGAAAATAATGGCAATCCTATGCTGATAGGCATTATGTAAAGAATGTCATGTGTATGTCTGAGGACTGACTATATGACAATTGCTTTAGTTCTTTGACAGAGAAACTGTTTTCAAAAGTTAAGCTGAAGTAAATCCTCTTAGGTCTACCTTGAATGCAGAAATTGGTCCAGGTATTGAGTACATAGATGTGTAATGGCCACATTAACACAGGAATTCAATATGTGTTTACATATAATTTTGAATAATCATGATTAAAATGTGTTTGAAACTCTGACACACTTCAGAAATGTCAAGCATTTTGAGTTTTTAAATCAGACCCATTATGGTGAATAGTGTAACTATTGCATTAGTAAATAATGTTTTTGTGCAATTAATTTTCAAATTTTTAATTTGTTGTTTAGGATACATATGGGGGCAGCTTATGATTTATTGAAAGATTTTGCACTCACTATTAAATCTATCAGGTATGTTATATATTTAAATATTGATTTTATATTTTTAAATAATTTAGCTATGAATCAAAAATATTGAGCTCTTTCTATAAGTAAGGTACAGGAAAGTGCCTTTGAGCCTCTTAGTGCTAGGTAGTTCCACTTGCAGAACTTCCCTGTAACACATTGCCATGTGCTTCCTGTAGTAGAATTAGTTCCAATGCCCATTTGAGATTAAGTTCCATGGAGTTGGCAGTCTCATCCCCAGGCACCATGTACCAACAGGCAGCAATATTCCAAAGCTTCATTGGCTCCACCGTAGGAGGCCAGCTTGAAACTGCACTGGACACACTATAAAATATTATTGAATTGGCTTATAAATTGGCTACTGATTAAATTATGAATCTGTCCGAGACCCTTGTAACTTGCTAGATGAGCCTTTTGCTGGCACATGCAAACAGAACTCCCTATGCCAACAGCCACAATTGAGATCTCAATGGTCAGTGAATTTATGGAGCCTCTCTAGCAAGGTAAACACTACAGCTGAGGATTTATCACTCTTGTGCAGCCATTCTCCCAGATCAAATGTTAGCTAAAGATAGCACAGGCTACTCATTCATTAGGACCTGTCCTTTACGGGAATGCATCATTCCTTCCTTTATACAAGCCTGGCTTTCATCAGAGTCTTGGTCCCACTGTTCCTTACATCTGCCTTTACAGCCCCTGCTACGTTGTGTAATCGATAAATACTGACAAGTCTAGACTTCTTGGTCTTGCCTAGGAAGAGCTAAGATCAGGTCCTGCTCCCCTCCCCACATTTATACAAACCTTTGTCTCTCATATTATTCTTTTGTCCTCCACTGTATCCTCAGCCAGGTAGTCTGGCAGACTCCGATACCCTACAACTTACTATTCTCATCTGTCACAAACAGTGTATGTCAGATCCATGACATGAAAGGGCTCCTTGGTGATCTATCAGGAATCCATACATTCTCTTAGATGTGCTTGAATGTGTTGCTTGAATGTGTTGCTTGAATGAGTGGTATTTTTTCAGGATTCATTTCAACCTGGTATCTCATTGGCTACTTATTCTCACCTTTATCAGAGCCCAGTATAAACTCAAATAATATCAAAATTCATTCAGACATCCCTGTCCTTTGGTTCCATTGGACATTTAATATTGCCTCATTAAATTATCATCTGCCTTTGGCTTCCAATCTGCTTCATTCTACTACTCTACAGGGGTACCATTGTTTGATCATTTATTTGTACATGTATTTAATTTGTCACAATTGCTTCTGGTATTGTTTTTTAATATTATTAATTTTATTGGTACATTTTAGGAATACAATATAATGACATTCATCATTGGGAATTTGCACCTTTACATAATATATCTTGGTTCTTATTTTTTTTCCCCATTCCCCTGCCCTCCTTTCAACCCCTCCACCTCTCCCTATTTAGAAAGACTTTGTTTCCTTTTTTTTTTTCAGTTTCTCATATTAATTCCATTCCCTTCTTTCCTTTCCCCTACCCTTCCCACATTCCCTTCCACTTTGCCCCTGTTCTTACTGCTACACATTATCTATTTTACCTTTTAGTCCTTATTTACACTTTCAGTTTGTGTTTTTGCTGATCAGGCCATGGTCTTTGATCTAAGATGAATAAGGTCTGCTTGAACTTTTTATATAAGCAGTGGATGTTTTGTGGTGCTAAAGCAGAAGTTACAGCTTTGTCTATTGTGAAGAACTCTAGTGACTCCTTGAGTGGTTCATAGATACCCAGGTTATAAACTCCAGAGAAGCCCAAGAAACTGCAACTACTTTGAAGCTTTATCCAAAGTATAGCTTAGGAAGACAATTCATTCATGCATTCAGGTAATAAGTATTGAAGTATTACTTGTTTGACACACTTTTAAGAATGTGAGTATAAAGCATGTTAAATTGACCCCTCTTAAAAAAAAACTTGCTATCTAGTAAAGGAAACAGACCTTTGAACATTACAAACATAGTAAGGGCTATGTTGGCAGAAAAGAACTGACTAGCTCTACTTGGACTCAGACAAAGGCTTTCACATAAAGTAAAGCTTTTAACTAAGTCTGTGAGCATGGTCCAGACAAAACAGTACTATCAAAAGTACAGAAATAAAAAATGGTGTCTTATGCAAAGGGTAGGCTTTCAGCTTACTATGGTGAGATAGAATATGGGAGTTGTGATAAGGATAGAAGAAGATGCTGAATTACTATAAACAAGGGAATTTGGGTCGGTATTATACAAGGCCTTCACTGTCACATCATGGATTTGGGGATTGATGTTTTGAGAATTCTATAGATAGTGCATAAGCATGAGTGTGGCACGGGTCTAGGGTTAATAGATGTGGCAGAGATGTATAAGACTATAAAAGACTGTAACAGTGATGCAGATGAGAGAGAGAGAGAGTAAGGTCTGAAGGAAATGGAATTAATAATGCAGAAGAGTAGTTAGAGAAATATTTATGAGGTAAATTAAAAGAAATTGATAATGAATTTCATGTAGTTACTGAAGATTATTCAATTTTCTATTTTAGTTAATGATACATAAGAGTTATAGAGTGATGACGACAATTGGTGATAAGAACCAAAACTAGTGAGTTAGAATTTATGCATGTCACAGGATAGCTGTGAGGCATCCTTCAGGAGGAAATGTCAAGTAGTCATAATTATAGACCTGTAACTGAGGAAAAATTAATTATTGGAGCTACAAATCTAATCATTCTTGGTGGTAGGTCAGTACAATACTAGATATATTAATCAGCTCTTCTGTCACTGAAACATAGCACCAAGACAACAAATTAAAGGAGGAGAGGTTTAGTTTGGCTCACAGTTTTGGAGTTTTAGTCCATGGTTGCCAGGCTCAAGGGAGAAAGAGCATGGTGAAAGGGCATATGGCAGGATGAGGGACAGCTGCTCACCTTGTGACAGCCAGAAAGTAGAGAGAAAGGAGGAGTGGGGGGCATGGATACACCCTTCCAGGCCACACCCCTCTGTGATCCACCCCTCCAAAAACAGTCTACCTCACAGCACCTGCATGATCTGGTCACCTACCATAAAACCCCACCTCTCAATACATGAGACCCTTGGGGGACATTTTAGATCTAAATCATATTACTCTGGGAAAAAAAAAAACAACAGTAATTCCAGTGGCAAGCAGGCAGGTACAAACAATGACAGGCTTATGAGATGTCAGACTCGGATTGTTTTCAGTCCTTGATAAGCCCAGGTGCAATGGTGATTTGTGTATTTTTTCCTCTCTTTCCTTTTACCTATCAGTTTCTTAATGCTGCTGTAATAAATTACAACAAACTTAAAGGTATAGCACATACAAATTTATTTTCTTTTTTCTTTTTTTTTGGTACCAGGGATCGAACTCAGGTCCTCGTGCTTTCGAGGCAGGCACCGGAACCACTGAGCTAAATCCCCAGACCACAAATTTATTTTCTTACAGGTTATAGGTGGAAAATCTGAAAAATGTCTCAGTAAAATTAGGCTGTAACCAGTGCTTCATTCCTTTCTGGAGGTTCTAGGGGACAGCCTGTTTTGTTGACTTTGGCAACTTTTTGAAATTGTTGGCATTCTTTGGTTTGAATCTCCTTTCTCTTTTCAAATCTAGCAGTTGTTAGCATTATCTCACATTGCACTACTGTGACATTAACTCTCTCCTGTGTCCGTCTTCCACTTACACACACCTTTGTGATTGCATTACACCTATCTAGATAATCAAGGTTCATATTAGCAACCTTTATTTTCATCTGCATTCTTGCTGCCATTTCTCTTTGCCTTGTATAACAGTTTCATAAATTATAATAGTCAGAAACAAATCCATAAATTTATGAGGATTAGGATGGAGGTATCTTGAGACAGTTATTATTTTGCTTATATTATCCAAGATTTTCAAATTTCTTACACATCTAAGGCAAAGCAATGAATGATTTACTACTTTATAGGGGTAACTGGGTTTCAGTATGTCCTGGACACCTCAACAGAAAAAGCACAAAATGACTTCATAAGAGATGTATACAGAAAAGAAAAGGAATTTGATTCACGCTACACTATTGAAAGGGAGGTGGAGTCAAGAAACATGGAATTTGATGGCATTTCATATACTGTTGTAACAAACTGCATGGAAATTGTCTTATCTTTTCTCATTTCTTTTTTTGTGCAGCTTTTTTTTTGGGAATAAATGTTTCTTACCATCATTCCTCATATTTTGCTAATAGTATTTCATTATCAGATGAGATTTAATTTTTTTCTCCATACCTAGAGAAAACTCTTCTTATAATGTCACTAAATAGGTAATATATATGTATATAAATATATAATGTTTTCTATTTACAGTGTTTCCTTGCGTGAATTATGTGAGAATGAAGATGACAACGTTGTTTTAGCATTTGAGCAACTGAGTGAAACCTATTTTATAAAACTGAATAAAGTCTAAAAACAAAGTCCATGCACAGCTCTTAAAATACTGCCATGGAAGTTTTACAAGGTACAGTTTGGGTTCTCATGCTTTTTGTGAGAAAACACATGAATCATAAAGAACAAGCCTTGGCTTTAAAGAGTTAGATTCACACCTGCCGTGTTCTGTCATGGGTGTTCTTGGACAAATTATTTAGTGTATCTGAATCTTGGTTTCTTTTTATGTTTGACTAATCATGCTTACATCAGAGTATGTTGAGGTTTGACAGAAAATGCAAGGATTTTGAATGTAACTAAAGAGGCATTTTTCCTCTGTGAGATCAAAACAAATATTACACTTTTAATATTTTTCTTCTTTGTATCAGGATTTCTAAAATATTTATTAAGGGTAGAAAGAAACAATCATAGTATCCTAAAGGTGAAATATATTCTTTCCAAATAATATAAATGGGATTATAAAATGTAGATATGACTACTGAAATAATATATTCTAATAAACCAAGTGCTTTCTAAATACCCAAGAGTTTGAGATTCAAACTATGTGATGCTTAAATAATATGCAACTGATATGTGTTTTATTTTTATTACACATGAGTGACCAGAAAACAAAGAAGAAATAAAATGATTTAAATCTCTTACCTTTGGTTTCATTGTGTGAAATCTTTGCATATATCAATCTATTTGCATAAACCTATGGATTTTCTATATAATAATAAATTACATAAACATTTCTGCTCCTTATCCTCAGCCTTAGATCACCATTTTAGAATCTATTTTAGGCAATAAACTTTAATATTGAGTATTTCATCCTCAGTGTGAAACATCTGTTTTCTCCTTCCATCTTGATGCCATAAGCAAATGATACTCTTTTTGTGACATTATTCATAAGTAGATTATATAGGTTTAGGAAGACAACTGTGGTCATTTTTTTCTGGAGATGCAAGAATACCCTTATCCCTAGGACTGACCCATCTTTTCATGTGCTGTGTTGGAGGTTTTTACTTTCTTTGGGCTGCACCTATTTTCACTATGTAAAGCACTACAACAGTTTCTGAATATCAGTGTACTTAGTAAATAAGGTGACTTCTACTGTCTCTGTTTCATTGCTTAAAACAATAATACTCAAATTAATAAATTGTCATATCAGTTTTTAATGCCTAATTGTCTTTATAAGTCTCATTGACACATAAAAAAATTCTCCCATATGATTAAGTCAATCTGGCTACCTAATTTTCAGAAGGATAAGATTATTTTTGCTAACCAGAATTCTCTTTAAAAAGTAAATTACCTGTAATTCTAGCACTCTGGGATGCTGAGACAGAAAGATTACAATTTTGAGCCCAGCTTGGCAACTTAGTGACTCAGTGAGATTGTCTCAAAAGAAAAATTTTAAAAGGGCTGTGACTGTTTCCAAGTATAAAGGTCCTAGGTTCAATTTCCAGGGATCTTTCCTATCAGATTAGGGAAGGGTACACTTAATCTCCTTTTAATGGGTTCAACAGACAGTTTCCTTTTTGATATTTTAGCAAAAACTATAAAGAGTAACCTGAAACAATGAGTTTAGGAGTAGGATGTCAATGAAACCGTGGAGTGAGAGGTAACTCACTTCATGCCTTTCACATAAAACCAACTGAAAACTCTTCAGTAGGAGATTTTCACCAGAATATGCCAGTTCTCAAAATGGAGGCTGGGATGATCCTTTGGACCTCAGAGAAGAGAAAAACTAGGAGCAAACTCTAAGAGAAATGGATCTGTTTAACCATGAGCTTCCTCCTCCAAGTCAGCAAGTACCAGAGTCTGGAAAGCTCTCTGGTTACAAAGGGTTTCTACACTAGAAAAAGTGAGTTTAAGGAGGACATCAGGATTCCTCATCATCCTGGGCCCCTTTGCAGGACATTTGCTCCTGACTGAGCCCACAGGAAGCATTTTGAGTGTCTGCAGTGATTTGGCCAAAGGTTTTGTTGAATATGGCCCCCCAAATAATAATGAATAACCTTATTCAAAATGAGAATAGAATTGAATATATATTTCTCTAAAGAAATCATTTTTGTCAATCTGCAATTTAAAAAATGCTCAACACTGCTAATTTTCAGGGAAAAACACATACAAACTACAGTGAAATACCATCTTACTCTAGTTAGAAGGGCCAATATGTAAAAAAAAATTAAAGACAATAAATTTTGTGATGTAGAGAAAAGAGAGTTCATACACTCTTGGCCATATATAAATTAGTGTAATTAGTATACAGGTTTCTCAAAAGCTTAAAAAGAGCAATACCATGAGATTTTCTAATCCTACTATTGGGTATATTTAAAAAAAAATGAAACAAGTGGTTGAAGCAACATCTGCACTCTCAAAATTAGCGTAGCACTTTCAAGAATTACTACAAGCACCCTGCAGGAACCAGTCCAGTGGATGGCAGCAGCCCCCACCCCGCCGGACCACGCCACACAGACACTACACAGCATCTGGATCTGCACAGTGGAGGCACCAGGGGGAACATAAAGGCCATGGTTATGAGACCCAGAAGATAGTGCAGAAGTGAACAACAGAGAGGACCTCTCTGATGCTCCTCAATGAAAATTGAAGGCCACCGGGAAAGTGAAGAAAAATTCTTCAATAAAAGTGCACTGGGGCTAGGGATTTAACTCAGTGGTTCCACCGCCTGCCTCGCAAGTGCAACAACCCGAGTTTGATCCCCAGTCCCCAAAAAACAAAAGTGCACTGGACCATCGTGGTTGGTGAGTTGGTGGGATCAGCACCTCTCATAGAAACCTGGACTCCCATGGGGGGACGATGGCTGGAACCCGCAGTAGAACCTTGTAGAGTTTAATCCTGCAGGAAGTCAGGGACCTCAACTTGGACCTTGAAGACAGAAATCAGCCTGAATCTCAGTAGACTACAGGTGGCTTGCTGAGACTAATCAACTAAGACCCACACACTGCTGCTGCCCACATTGCCTACCAGAACAGCAGAGACATATCCTGAGGGAGACCTTTTTTGTTTTGTTGTGTGTGTGTGTGTTTGTGTGTGTGTGTGTATATATATATTTATTTATTTATTTTTCCTTTTTATTTTCTTTTTCTCCCTATCCCTTCTGGCTCTACATTTCTCTCCCTCTTTGTTCCTGTACCATTCTGAATTTTTTTCTCTGTCCACTCAACTGTCACTTTTATAGAAAGGTAAATACAATTTTTAGCTACCCTATTGTTGTCAGGTTGTTCTGTACTTGTCTCTGTTCTTTCGCTCTGTCTTTTCCTCCTGTCTTCAACAGATCCCCACAATTTGTGTGATCTTCTTGTGTCTTCTAGCCTCACCTCTAACCTTTCCCTCTCCCTCTATCTCTCTACCCTTCCCTCCTCAACCCCTGCTAAATCCTTATCCTGAAGGGTAAATTTACCACATTGAAGGGTTTACTTACTACAAACATATTTTGGGCTGGTGCTAGATTTTAATATAGCACTCAAGGTTAAATGTGACAGATTAACTGCTACCACAAATTGTAACTTTCTAAGCTGTGTTTGATGATGATTGTATCAATGAGCTAAGGTGTTGTGATTGATCTAATCAGTTGTCCTCCCTGGTATACTGAAAATGAGATTGCCTAAGAGTCATTAGAGACTCAAAGCCTAAAACGTCCAGCTATACTTGGAAGATACCTCTGAGAAGCAATCACTCCATAGGGGCTCTAAACACCAGTCATAAAGATACTCAAAATAAGAAATATTGGAATATCAGCCCAGGAATTAAAGCAAAAAACAGCACCAATAACAAAATTAAAAATGAGAAGACACCTGGGCAGGACACAAACACAGACTTCCAGCTCACCAAAGGCAAACTCTGGGGGAAATGAGGTGGAAAAATATGATAATCAACCACCTGGACACCCTGAACTGATAGCACAGGAAGTAACAAAACAGATGAATGAGGCTCTAGAAAAATTC